TCTGCCACTGCACCTGGTAAGAGAGAACCATTCCATGGATAACTTAGATCCATGAACAAGTAGGCATTGAGCTGCAGGTTACTGTTTTATTTAGCTCAAAATAACAATTGCATTTTAATCTTTAAGTAATAAATATGTAAGGCAGTTTCAAAATCTATTCCACTTAGTATATTTGTAATAGCCTTACACTCACACATTATTTGTAAAATCCTCTTACCTCTCTACTTTTAGCTGTAGCTGTGTGTCTGAGTTATAGCCTATCCCCTTCCACACGAGTTGTTATTGTAGAAACAGTTCATCAGCACCATCACTACACATGTTGATGGTATTTTTTTTTTTTTTGCGGAACCGGGGATTGAACTCAGACCCTTGTACCTGCTAGGGAAGCGCTTATTCCACTGAGCCATCTCCCCGGCCCCATGTTGATGGTGTTTTTACCAGGTGTTATATAAAGTAAAATAACTGTACTGGCTGCAGTGGCCTTGGTAGCTCACCTTCTCAAGCTCTTCAAAGTGAGCAGTGGATCCTCAGAACACAAATGAGGATGTGGAGGTCAAACTGCAGTGATGGGCAGCAGAACCACAGGCCTGGTTGTTCTGGCCCTACAAGTAAGGGGTTCAGCTAGAGCCCTTGACTTTGTATCTTTTGTGTACTTTTCAGACCAAAAGAGAAACACATTGTCAAAGACGTGGGTTACATCTCTTCAGCACTCCAACCTACACACAATTGTAGCCTAGGAAATTACCAGATAGTCTTAAACACCTATCTTGCCAATGACCAAGATTTAACTCATAGCTGAACTCTTTTATATTTGCAAATTCCTAAACTTTCTAAACTTTCATGTTGTTAAATATGTATTTGCAGAAATATGATATAATTTGGTTTGTAAGTGTTTCCATTTTAAATGTTTTAAAAAACCTTAAATACCTCTGTAGCATGAAGTTATAATGAGCCAAAAAGATACTGGCCTAGCATTCTAGCTTGCTAATGAAAAATAAATTAAATATTTGGTATTTTGGTAGTAATCATGAAATTTTCTGTATCTCTCAGATCCCCACTTTTAATTAAGTGCTCAGTTACTGAGGACCCATCTTCATGTAAAATGTCAGCAGCTGTTCCATTACTCTGCCACCAGTAGGGTGATTTTGGGCACAAACATTCCAACTCATTAAAATCTTTTTCACAATAATATTGAGGAAGTATATACAATCATTTCAGGAACTTAGAAAGAACTGAGAATATTTTGATAATCATCTTGTTGCCTAGGATTTTTATCATTGAGGCAGAAATTTTTCTAACTGCACAGCAATACTGAAACAGATTTCTTTCCACGTGTTAGTCAGCAGGTAGTAGACAGATGTGCCATAAGGTACCTGGCCCTCACCTGTGGAGACCTGTTCCCTCAGCAGAGCTGCAGTGTGCCATGCCGGGCCACTCTTAATTCTGGATGGCTTCATTGTCCAGAATTGGGGTAGCAATGAAACAACCCTGAGTCACCTACTCTCCTTTCTTTTGTTGCCTTCCAAGAGATTATAGGTAGCATGGCATTCTTATGGGAAGAATGGCTGCCACACTGTGCTCCGGATCCACTTGAGGCTCATGTCAGCTCATAAACCTTCCTCAAAGCTCCAACACTTCCTAGACAGGTGCTTGGAGGAGCTGCACTTACTGCACTGAAGAGCCTTTGGGGAGGAGGATGAGGCCTTAGTAATCAGGCAGAGAATGCAGAAGGCTCCTGCTCTCTGCACCACTGCCCCATGCAGGCCCAGCCTGTTAGGCACTGATTTGCTTGTGTCCCTCCCCTGGGCTCATGGTAGCAGAGCTGTGATGTGTTTTCTTCTTGGAAGGAACAGCCTCCCTTGAAGGCCCGCCTGGAACACTGTGTGCCATGCTCACTGAATCCTGCGTGCCCACATCCTGGGATCTTTCCATCACTGACATTATGTGCTCTGGATGGCCATTCTTCCTGCTCATTCTTCTGGCTCCTAATTGCTCTTGTCTTTCCTCCCTTTGTGTTCCTCAGACCCAGAGACTTATGTAGTATCTTTGATGAGGCCCTGAAAGCACCAAGAACAGATGCAACCAAAATGGTGCTCAGTGGGGTTAGTGAATGCCTGGAAATCAGATATGCGTACATGTGAAGATGTGGGGTGAGGGACAGAACAAATTAAGAATAGTTGTGTTAGTAACAGACAAATATTGTAAGACAGCAGAGAAAAGAATACTTGTAGAGGTGAGACACAATTCATTACATTCACTCCAAAGACTCCAAGGCAAAGCAAAGCAAAACAAAGCTGATTTAAACACAAAGCCTAAAGCAAATATAATAAATATAAATTTTTAAAAAAGAAAAGACCCACTGACTTAGTTTAGCTGTATGTGTGTCAGCCACTCATTATAAGTTTTAAACAGGAATTTTTTACAATAGCAGTTAATCTGAATTCATGTGAACTTTGTAGCCTCCAGATGCTGAAGCAAAGTTTGGCAGAATTATAAGGAATTACTGATAAAACCACCATTGTAAAGATTTTCATATCAAGTATCATTAATGACTTAAGCAGAAACAATTATGAGTAGGATTAGAGAAAACGTACATGATACAGTTAATCGTAGCTGAATGGAAATATCCAACATAGCTAGATCTTTGAATTTAGCAACTACAAAATACTTATGATCTTAAAAGCACATATACTAGTTGTAAAATTTGATCATTTGAACATATGTCTATGATTTATAACTAAAATATTCTATGAGTTTGATGAAATAAAGTAAGAATGACAAAAAGAAAAAAAAAGGCAGCCAAAGGAAAGTGAATGTTTATGAGAAAGGAAAATATGACCTAAGATACATATATTCAAAGAGAAAAAATTTGACTTGTGTTCTCTATTCAGAAATTAGGGGAAAGAATAACAGACTAACATGGAAGTTAGTTTTTAAAAAGTAAAACTAAAGAGGATACATGAATATACTAGAAAGTAAATAAGTGGAAATAGAAGAAAATCAAACAACATTCTAATGAAAGTAACCAAGTGAGCTTGACCTAGAAAAATATACTGGAGATAAAAAAGGGAACAGAACTATAAAAGTAATACATATTTTAAAAGTAAACGTACTGTATAATCTGAATAAATTTATAAGTACAAAAGATACTTCCTAATTTTACTGAACTTTCAAATAAAAAATATCTTTCTAACTTACTCTATAAAAAGAGAATGAAAGCTCTCCAATTGCTGTTATTTGTCTTATGTAACTTTGATAACAAAACTGGATAAGGTCAATCCAACAAAAACAAAATTAGAGACCATCTCACTTACAAGGAATAAACAGAAAAAGACCAGACAGTTTCAGAGGATCATTCTACAGAATACTTGACCGGTACCTAAAACTGTCAAGGTCACTGAAGACAGTCTGAGAACTGTCAGAGCCAAGTGAGCAGCATAGAGGAGTTAGGACAACGTGACAATGGGTAGCACCCTAGGATGAAAGAGCACAATGTTTAGTGAAAACCAAAGAAACCTAAGTAGAGCGGGCTGTTTAGTACTGTTTTAATATTGGTTTGTTAATTATACTAAGGTAAGATATTAATAATGGGGAAACTAGATGTGGAATACATGGGAACTCTGTGTTGTCTTTGTAAGTTTTTATAAATCCAAAACTGCTTTTATTAAAATAATTCAAAGATAATTGTCAAATAAAAATAAATGTATTAAAACAACATAAAGTTATAAAATAAAATGAAAGAAGTGAAATTTAAAAATAATGGAGTGATAAAGGCATTTAAAAATCCTATTATGCATATTTAAGTTAAAGACAGTAAAGTGAACAAAATATACACACTTGTTCCCTGAAACCTACCTGAGCCACTTTGAGAGGATTTTTATGAAATCAGACATAAATCCATGAGGACAAGAAAGGTAGAGGAAGGCGGCAGAAGCCAGGAAACCATGACGTGCTGGTGAGCAGCCAACTGGGACACTGATTCCTCTGTCAGCTCAAGAAGGCCAGGAATCCAGCTGCCTGCACCACTGAGACCTGGAAAGGGCTGGGAAATGGCCCACAGGCGATGGCCAAGGTGTCGAGGCCTCACAGAGCTAATGGCAGAAGGCTTGAAGTCCACAAGACCTCCCTGCCCCAGCTGCTGCCTTCACTGCAGAAGGTGGCAAAAGTCAGTGCAGGGTGGCTGGCCCAGAGTCCTCATCACATAGCTAAGTGCAAGATGCTGCCTTAAGATCAAAGAGAGGAGAAGAGAGTTACATACTCTGAGCAGAAGGTGGATCTTTTCCCAAGAATTCGAGTTCCAGAAAAAAAGCCCAGAGTACATATCTCTGGCTTCTGCAAGAACCTAGTGGAGCTCACCAGAGCTGGGCCTGCTGTGGACCGACAAGCTTCTGTTCAGTCTGGAACAAGCGGAACCATCGATGTCTTTGGGGAAAGGAGTACAGAATGGAGATGAGACATGCAGGCTGAAGGGGGTGTGTGGAGGAGTGGGGATACTGCGGGTACTCAGATCTGCTCAGGGTCAGCCTTCATGAGATTGAGAAGGGAATGAGGCAGAGAGAAGCCCCTTGGTATGCACAGAGCCATAAGATGAGGTTGAGCTGGCTGAGGAGAAAACAGAACCTGGGGGACTGCATTCCTGGGGGTGGGTGAAACACTTCACAAACTGAGGCATGAACCTACACTGACAGCCATGGAAACCAGCATGCAAAAGTCCCCAGCCACTGATTCCATGGCATCAGCCTGCTCAGGGTCTCCCTCACCCTCACCCTCACTACAGCCCTGGCTTGTTGCCCTTCGAGTTTGAAGAATCAAAATAATTTGATCCCTCTTCATCCTCCTGCTTTTTGATCCTTTTAAACTCTCAGCCTTTCACATTTGAAAATCTTAATGACCCTGAGAACATACTTGTTGAGAATGGATAATTTGCATTAAAGACAAAAGCTGTGGTAAGCAAATCAAGATTGTGTTTCCAGGGATAACACATGTATCTCTCTTCTCAGACAACAGTGAGTGCCTGGCGGATGACTGTAGTATCATTGCCGGGGGGAACCTCACTGGCTGGCACCCAGATTCTGCTGCTGTATTATGGAGAAGAATCTTGGGGATCCTCGGAGATGTGAATAACATCCAGTCACCCAAGATCCATGCCAAAGTGTTTGGTTACCTCTATGAGCTCTGGTACAAACTAGCCAAGGTATTTTCTTCCATTCCATCCCTCATTTCATGTAAAAACTGGGTTGTAATTAACTATGGAACATATTCTGGAACATAGGTCAGCATTTAGACAAAGTATATTTGATTATCAAAGAGCAAATGATGATATTTATAGTTTATAACTGCATAATTATTTTACTTTGTATAAAAGTATAGTAGTATAAGGTATTGAAGTAGGATGTTAAGTAGTTTGTTGTTCTCTTTATTAAGGTAATACTGGTAATCAGGATGTACTGCAAACATATTGAAAAAATGTTAAAAATGATACCTGTTTTATTGTACAAAATTTGCAGAGAAAAAAATTTATATCACCATCCCAATAAAAATAACCAATTCTAATATTTTAATCCTATTTTTGTAGATAAAGATTTTTCAAAGGTAGAATCACAGAGTACATAAAATTTCATTTTATTTTTAGTTTTTATACTAAACATACTTTTTCACTGTTTTAAAATCAGTTCAAAAACGTGATTGATGATAACTTCTTAAATAATTCCTTATCATTTGGACTTCAGGACTTCTCTGTGTACTAACATTAAAGGGAAAATAATGCCCTAGCTTTATATTTAAATGTAAATCCATTCAGGAAGCTAGTCACACAATTCAGGACAGGTAAACTCACAATAAAATAAAGCTTGTGTAAATATTATAGATTTTCCCTCAAGTTGTAGAAATTTAATTGACTATGAAAGATAATGATGAAATACCATGGAGATAAGTGGAGTGTCCCCTTCCCTAAATCCTGCTCTCTCTGACTTAGATCCGGGATAATCTGGCCGTGAGCCTGGATAACCAGTCCTCTCCGTCTCCTCCGGTCTTGATCCCACCCCTCAGAATGTTTGCATCATGGTTATTTAAGGCAAGTGGATATGTGTTTATTCCTTTATTGCAATTTCCTCTTCCTTTGTGAAATTGAGTTTTAAAAAGGTAATTGCCCAAGACTGCATGTTTTGAAGACAGGCTGGGTCTCACTATAGCCACTGTATCCCGCATCTCCATAAACAACTCTCTGGAAAACCGAGAAATAAATGAAATGCTGAAATGCTCTGCATCTGGAATTGATTTAATCTGGAAACATCATCTCCTCGGCAGGCGACGACACTGCCAAATGAGTACAAGGAAGGCAAGCTGCAGGCCTACAGGCTGATCTGCGCCATGATGACCAGACGCCAGGATGTCCTGCCAAACTCCGACTTCCTGGTGCACTTCTACCTCACAATGCACCTGGGATTAACCAGTGAGGACCAGGTACAGCATGGCTTCTTATTGTGACACCCGCTAGTAGGAAACTGCCTGGCCCACTCTGCAGGTCAGGGCTGAGGAAAATACTCAGATATGCTTAATGTCTCAGTAGTTTCAGCTCTTTCACATACAGCAACCACAGTGGTCTTTCAAAACTAAGTCAGGTCTCACCACAACCCTGCTTCTTCCCTGGTTTTGCATTGTGCCCACTATATATGAAATTATACTGCTGCCTCAGTGACATTGCCAAATCAAGACACCGTCTCAACCACTTTGTTGATTGTTTGAAGAATATGATTCTAGTCATTTAAAAATGGAGATTGTTTTAGTAATTGTGAGTTTACAAATAAGACAGCACTCTTGTCATTTTTTGTTGAGAAATTATTTTAATTTCTTCCAAGGAAATTGTAGGTAAGTTTTGGTTAAGTAGGAGAAGAAAGGTTCAAGCCCCTCTCACCACAGGCCCTTCTCTGTAGACCTTGAGCATCCAGCCTTTTGCCTGCCTGGGCTTGAGTGGAGAGGAATTGTCTTGGACCACATATCATACACGCAGTATAGGTGGTGCAGATTAGTAATGAAATTTCCTTTGTATTTAAAAACATTATATTATAAAATAACACAAACCCATTTTTAAAAATTAAATAAGGGAGGACTGGCGAGATAGTGCACTAAGTACCTGCATAGGCAAGCTCAGGGACTGGGGTTTGATTCCCAGCACCACATGTTGTGCTGGCCCCACCTCTCGGGCACCCTGAGCTGGCCACCAGGGGTGGTGGTGCACACCTATCATCCAAGTGCTGGGGAGGCTGAAAATAGGAGGATTGCTGAGTCTGAGCTGCATAGTGAGACCCTGTACCAAATACATTAAAAAAAATAAGAAGAAAGTTTATGTGCTCTCTTCATCACGTATAAATGTAGACATATAAATGCTTGTCTTCATAGACACATACACATAGTTAATTAGAATCATTGTTGTTGGTGATCACTGTATTTTACTTGCCAAATCCCACAAGTACATGTAAGCTCTGCTACACAGAGGTTCTGATTCCAGTGACTGTGTGTAGGGACAGGAGACAGAGCTCCTCCACCAGCTTGCACAGGTTGTTGCCTACCTAGAGCATGTTGGAACCATGCAACTGAGTCATAAAAAGTATTGGTAAAAATCATGTAATAACATTAACAGTGTATGACTTTGTGGTACCACACTACTAGCTGTTGCGGGTTGCTTGTGTACTATCCATGCCTGGTTTGGGGCTAGGATGTGGCAGCCCTTGGTCTTCCTCCCTTCAGTCGACCTCCTTGCATGCGTGTGGGAAGGGATACAGACAGGGACTTTTGCACCAACATGGGACACCAAGTAGTCAATCATGTGATTGGTTTCACAGAGATCATTCTGGACTTGTGGAGAGGTTGAATTGGAAAACATGGCGGTGGTGGATACAGGAGGGATTTGGGCCTGGAGAAAGATTAATTAGGAAGTGTTTAATTTAATAAAGGTTTAAAAATGTTAAGAGCTAAGATGGTAGCACTCGAGATGGGAAGGAAGGAAAAGGTAGAAATTTTAGGCCATTTTATCACTAGTTCTTGACCAGCTGAAGTTAATAGGGCAAGTTTAGGATTTATCCATTAAATTGCTTGCACTTACCAATGAGCTTGAATCATTTCTTTTTGTATTTCTCCTTTTGGATATAGAATACAGATACATTATTTTGTTTTGTTTTGTTTTGCTTTCTCTTTTTGAGACAGGGTCTCTCTATACAGTGCAGGCTGGCCTTGAGCTCACTTTGTAGCCCGGCTTGGCCTTGAGCTCAAAACAATCCTCCTGCCTCAGCCTCAGAGTGCTGGGATTAGAGGCACATGCCAACACACCTATCACACAGAGACATTTTAATGCCCCTAGGATACATGTAAGAGTCCATCCTCCTAATTAGCTTTTTAGTTTCTTCTGAATGTACTTGAATCTTCCCAACTCCTTAGGCTCTACGTAAAGGTTCTTCATTATGTTCCCTGCTGTGTACTCTGAGCTTTAATCCCTGAACTTTTATCTGAGTCATAGTTGTGTCTTTCAGTGAGTTGGGTCTGCCATGGATCACCTTGAATTTAGCCATGCATAGAGGACATATGTCCTTTGACTGGCTGTAGCCCCATAGCCCCGTTGACTTCCTCAGTAATCTTAGAATTAGAGATGCGAGACAGAATTGGTCTTGCTCCCCACTGAACTACTTTACACCATCTTCCTAGGCTGGTGTCTCCAGAATGATGCAGCTTAGGTATGCAGAAGCTCCAGGAGTGCAGACACGAAAGAGAGTCAGTGTCACAGATACTGATGTGTGTACATGGGGAAGGGCTTACTTAGCTCCACTGTAAAGCACTGCTTTGCTCAGGACTTTCAGGGAAGAAAATGAAAATAATGACCTAATGTAGGATCTTCTCATTAAAGAAAGCAAATTTTAAATAGTGTGTCTTCAGATGAATTTTCTAGAAAGTCACATAAATCTGCATGATAGAATTGTCTTTCTTTTTGAGCTAATTTGGCATGAAAATGAAACTATAAAATGAGTTGAAATGAGAATATTATAGTATTTAAGAATCCAAAACTGATTTATGCATTTAAAAAACTTACGATTAGGAAAAGGAATTTTCAAACTTTATGCTTAAAATCTTTCTCTCATTTAATGAGTATCACGTTTTCAGTTACGTGAAGACTTAGGGAGCTTTTGTGGTTTTTGTAAAATACATAAATCGTGAAAGACAACCCAGTGTTCATGGTAATCCCAGCTTCTAGACTCTGAGGCAAAATGGGGATATCATAAATCTCTGTTTTATAATCAACCTATTGTTTTAGGCCACTGGAAGCCTACATTTTATGTGAACTTAATAGAATTGACTGCTTTACTATTAACAATCATTGGTATATACTTTAGAAGCTGACTGTCTGCCAAGCTGAATTACTCTAAATAAACTTTATTCTTTTGCCAGAAGAAAATTACACAGAAGATCTTCTAATGAAAGAAACTTTTCTCATTTAAGTAAGAAATGTCTCTACTTAATTAGTTTAACTTTGGTCTACATGTCTAAGTAAATCCTGGAAGTTGTTTTAGAACTTATATGTACTTCTGGAAACACATGTTATATTCATTATAAAGAGAAAAGAAAGCATTTACTGTAGAGAATACAGTTAAATTCAATTTTTTAATAGGCAGACTGCACCTGTGGCCGGTGCCTTGGCAGGGCTTGTTTCCATTTCGTGAGAGTTCTCCAAAGAGCCATACTTTCATGTATTATGGCACTAAGCAGATTTACTTCTGCAGAGAGAATCTTATGAGTAACTGTTTTTCAAAGAAAAGAAGTAACAGCTGATAATGTTTACAAACCCGACACTTACCTGTGTTGTCTCGCCAATAAAATCCAAGGTGTGTTTCCTCCTCTCACCTCTGGGTGGCACACTTGACTGCCTGACAGCGCTGGGATTTATTTATTTATTTTTTTCAAAGGGCCACAGGACCTAGGACCCTGCGACTTCGTGGTGTGAGTGGGTGGTGGTCTTACAAAATGCTTCCCTCCATCTGAGAGTGTTGAAATGGTGTCAGTAGTGACCCATAACATGTTGAATAATAAATAAGCTCTAAGATGTTAACAATCTCTTCCAACATGGTAATTCTTGTTGTAATTGAAGACTTTCAAGAATAGATGTCTTACAGTTATCCCGTGACTCAATCCCATAGTCAAGGCTCCCTTCACATAACAGCAAGTTAGTTACATAGCAAATTTAGTCATTTCTCCCCCAAAATAACACCTATACCAGTATCTAAACTTTAAATTGTAGAGCTTTATGAAACTGTTTTTCGTATGGTTTTTACCAGTTTTAGCTGTCCTACCAATTTAATCACTTAATAGGTAACACAGCAATCTTACCAAGTGCTGTAGCATTTCTCACAATATAAATGTAGTGTGGGTTTGTGGTTTATTAGTATGAAAGAAAACATGCTTTGAAGCGGCTTTATTTTTTTCCCTTAATGGATTTTTTAAAAAATTGATCCTGTTACTGGTTTAGAAAATAGGGTTGTAAACACTTTCAAAATGTCCATGAGGGCCGGCGGGACCAGTCCCAGCCCAGGCGCAGCGTGGGCCGGACCCTCTCCCAGCCCCTCGGGCCGCCTCCCACCACTCTGCAGTGCCTCCCCCACCCCGCCCGCCAAGTAGGATTTTCTGC